ACAACAACGTTTTCGCGAGAATAGAAATATATTTACAAGAGGAAGAATAAAAAATATAAGATTTTTCTTGCAGCCTGGCATGTCGATCGTAGGAAAGAGAAAAACAGTGCTTATCGTCTTAATGTCTGATGTGAAAGAATAAAAAAAACAGTATAGATGCCGATATTAATCGAATATATTATTATTACATATTCATTTTAACCATAAAATCGATCATCAATATATATGTATAGGAGAAACAAAAGTCAGATTTATTCTAATTTTGTTTTACAATTAAACAAGTAACGCTCGTCCAGAAGCTCGCTCAGCTCTTTTTCATAGAAACGATATGTCTTATCGCTATCAGTAAACAATTTATTCAAACAATTTCAAAAGATTGACTTTAGATTACCCTTCGGTCAGCCCTTATAAAAAGAAATTACTTTTATATCTTTACTTAATTCTTGGATCAATCAGACAATTTATGTTTACTGGACTCTTCTTGACCAGAAAGAAAATATATTTTATTAAAGATGAATTATCTTATTCAAAATAAGAAAAAATGGTATAAAATTCTCTTTTTTCTATTATAAATATATCGTTCAATTAAAGTTTACTAATTGTTTCAATTGAATTTAGTTCAGTTTGTGATGTTAAACAAGTTTTCGAATTTTTTCTTTGATTATTTTCATATATAAATGAACCCGATTCAATGCTTCCTTTTAGATGAGTTTGTATTTTTGAAATTGAATCATTTGTATTTGATGAATGTAAATCATTCAATAGAAAAATTCGATGATAAATTTTTTTGAATAAATAAACAATTGATTGACATATTGGTTTAATAAGAAGTTTGATAAATAGAAAAGAGAAAGCAAATAATTCAATACATAATGAAGTAAATAATAAACTATGAAATATTAATTCAGCTGTTCGAACAATAGGTTGTTGAATATTTTTTATATAAAATGGACGTTCATCAAGCATAATTTGAAGTATAGTTGCTGATGATGTATAACGTAAATAATTACCAAATTTAAGATAATATTCTTCATCTGAAAGTGGTACAGTTGTAAATGTCGGCATCCATATACCTGAATACAGAACTGGATCTGTTGGATTTAATGATTGTGTCATATTTATATTTTTAACAAATACAATTGGTATATAAGTATATCGACTTATAGCTTGATTAGGTGTAGAATAAAATTCACAAAAATCAAGTTCACGTAATGTATTACTACCACTTATTTGACCATGTCCACGAATACATAAACGAATAGCTCCAATCCAATATGGACCACTAATATTTATTTGTATAGTTGTTAAATGTCTTGGTAATGAAAATGTAACTGATGTTGTTGCTGTTATTATTGTTTGTTGACAATCAATTATTAATGGAACATATTTTGAACTAATAAGATTTTCTTGTGCAGTTATTGAATTACATGTAAATCCTGTATTTATTAATTCAACAGTTAAATTAAATATTTGTTTATCAAGAAGATCAAATATTGGTTGTGCACTTTCAGATTTTGGAATAGCAAGTAATACAAGACCAGTAGAAAATTGTGCATTAACTAATGATAGATCACATGAAAATTTAGCTGATTGAAATATATTCTCAATTGGATATCGTCTTATAAATGATGCCGAAAACCAATAAGAAAATGAAACAAGAACAATAATAGCTAATGTTGTTAAACCACCAATCCACATTTTACCTTCACCAATAATATCAGTATGTTTAAATATTTTCTTCATTGTTTTACTATATTTTATACATGGTTCATATCCACATAAATCAATAGTAACAATAAATAATATAAATAGAAAACATAAAGCACTAGCAATGATTGTCCAAAGAACAGGTGAAATTAATAAACAATGTGGATCATTACCAATTTGAAAGATATTTTTTAAAAGAATATCTTCAATATCTGTTGTATCTGCTGTTTCAGGATAGGCAACTGCTTGACTATAAGAAGATATTGTAGTTAAATTAGTAATATCAGCTAATGATGCAAGTGGACAAAATGAATTTGAAGAATTGTTCGAACATGATATACATTGAGTAATTTCATAGGAGAATGTACCAGGATTTCGTGTATTTGTCGGACAAATTTGACACGGACCTAAACTTGAATGATTTTTATAAGTTCCACCAATACAAAGTTTTGGTTGAAAATAAAAAACATAAGTCCGTTCAATATTATAAATCCAACTTGAAGTATAACCAGCAGATGCAAGTGGAATAATTAATATATCAGCTTTATCTGTAAGTATAGCCATATTACCTTTTATAGTTATACTAAATCGAGCAAATGATGGACGTGATAAACGACTACCGATTATTTGTTGATTATTAGGAAATGTAAAGATTGGAGATGTAAGTGTCACGGAATTTTCACGATAAAAAAATATTTGTGTTGTTGACCATGATGTTTCAAATGGATCTTGAACTAATAGAGCTATTGTTGTATCATCAGCCCAATCGACAACACGACATACGGAATTTGATGAAAGAAAAGATAGTATATGCATACGACTAATATGTAATGATGATCCATAATTATGAAGAATAACAACTGATGAAAGACGAAGTATTCCAATAAGTATTTTATTACCACGAATAGCAACTGATAATTCATATAAATCATTGTATAAAACAACATTGGATGGAATTAAAAATGTTGATTCATTAGTTACGGATATACAAGATGCATTTATTAATGTTGAAAGATCAATTAAACATCCAAGTGTACCATAATTATTTCTATTTTCATCTGCATATCCATAACCAGCAACAACTCCCCATGTATCAGCCATATCCATTGCATGTGGTATAAAACCTTGAGATGGCCAAACAGAATCTGTTGTTAGATTTAAAATAATTTTATCTGCGTAAATATCTAATTTAAATACAAATAAACTCGTAAATCCATATGCATAAGTTCCATTTGTATCAACACCAATTAAGAAATATTCTTGATGAGATCCTGTTATACCCATATCTGTGCATGAATAAGAATAACTACATGTTGATTTTGTAATAATACCAATACAAACATACGGAGACATTGTTGAGATTTTTTCAGCAGCAAAAACAAACATAAATTGTTCAGAATTCGTACTACTATTTTTAGCAATACCTATTACAGCAACGCTATGAACAAAACGATCAGTTGTATTATATCTCATATTACATAAGATAGATCCACCATCAGTAGTATTTCGAAATGGATATAGAAGAACAGCAAAATTATAGAAAGCATTTGATGCTGAAACAAACATATCATCATTAACAGACATTCTCGTACCTGGATAAACATTAATTAAATCATATTGACACCAGGAAATGTTAAAAAATATAAGAAAATATATTACACGAAATAACATTTTCATCTACAATTAATCAAAATTATTTTTTGTATTCTCTTTCTCGTATGTTCGGACTTCACTGATTGGTCCAAAAACTAGGTAAAAATATAAAAGGAATCTTTTTTATAAGGATTGATGGAATAGCGATCAAGATTGTCAAACTCAAATATGAAGTCGGTTTTTTGAAATTGTTTGAATAAATAGTTTACTGATAGCGAAGACATATCAATTCTACGAGAAAGAGTTGTGAGAGTCTCCACTACCAGTAAACTATTTATTCAAACAATTTCAAAAACCTACTTCACATTTATGATTACCCTTCGATCAATCAGTGAAGAACTGTAACATTACTCTTACTTACTTCCTCCAGTGGTTAAATAATTTCTTTACCCTGCATGATATGTTATTCAATTAAACTACGTATTATTCGTTTACCTATTTTCTTTTGATAGAATATGTTAAAAGGTTTTTTTGTTGATCGAATATTTATATTGCAAAGAATAGAACAAAACTATTCATGAGAATGAGAACGATATAAATTGATATCAAATTTTTTTTCAACACAAAATTAAGTATCGTAGTTCATAAAATATAAGCAAGTTTTTCTTTTTCTTGTTCACACATTCAATGCATAACCTTTTTTTCTTGATATTAATTCTGTTTTATATTTTATACATTACATGAGGAGAAAAAATAACATTAATATGTTTGATTAATATATGTGTATAGAAAAGAAAAGTAATTATTTATTCTATTCAATATATATTTACAGAATTGATTAATAGAAAGAAAAATATTATTACATTTCTTTTCATTAAATTTTTCTCATATGTAGATTTATATAAAGAATTGTACACAAGTTATAACTCTATAGTTGCAAAAATATATAAATGTATGAAAACTTGTTTTTATGAATAAAACGATGTATTACTTCACATACATCTCACCGAAAGAAAAAGAAAATAATCGATTGGGCACGCGTTTTGTACTTGAAAGTCATCATTTAATATTTTTAAATGATAAATATGTTCATTTTAATCAAGTAATCGCATGAATTTTCATTATTTTAAAAGTACTGATTTCTTCGCGAATGATATTTATTAAGATTTCAATTTTTTGTTAACAGTTGAGAACAGATATTCGAATGAGTTATGACTCAATAATATACAATTATAATTTATATAAATATTTATTTTTCGAATTGTTGACTAAACTCTGATATTCTGTTCATGAACATCGACTATAAACTGTTATAGAACTTTTCCGCTCTATTGATTTTTATACTTTTCATTTATTTTTATTACAGAAAAGATTTTACATTATAGTATGATATGAATAATTAAGTAATACCGAGGGTGAGTCTGTTGATGTGTATGTGTAAATGTTGTGTTCTTCATCTTTCCACACCCACACCCACCCTAGTTTTGAACGCATTCATAAAGGGAAGCCATGCACGATCAAATGAAATAACTGCAGCTTTCTATATTTTAGATAAGAATCAATCCCGAAATATTAGTTTTCATGAACTTGCTGTTTTTACACTCAATTACGCTGCAGAAACATTCTTCAAGTTTGTAAACAGAATTGATCAAAACCTCGATCATAAGATTAATTTTAGTAAATTCATATATTTCATTAAGAAAAGTATTGGATGACAAATTGCTCTTAATCGTGCCTAGAACATATTATATTCAAAGAAATTTTTAGACATGTATTCTTAATTATTGTGATCGTCTGATTCAATAAAAAATATTGTTCTTCAATACATCTGTTTCAAAATCTTTCGTTGTGAAAAAGTTTTAAAACATCGACAGTTCGACGATGGGGGGACGAGATAGGCGTTTTACTCAAAAGAGAAAATGTATGCCTATGAATTTGTCAAAAAATGAAAATGTGAGAATGAATTATACAAATAATTATTATCGCAAGTTAAGATTCATATTCAAAATACAAATTGTTTATACATGGCTAGACTAGTTATGATAGATTAAAAAGATAAAACTATCATGTAACGCATATTTGTGTTTTGAAATATTGATATATATCAATTTTACTTACTAGATTTTATAAAAACATGCAAAATACGTCGTTCTCTTCCATTTCTTTACATTACGAGTAATACTGTGATGTTATGTTGTTTTTATATTATTGTAAGTTAAGATTGATATTCAAAACAAAAATTAACTATCATGCATGGCTAGACTAGCTGTGATAAATTAAAAAGATAAAAAGTATTGCGTAAGACCTATAGTCATATCGGATGATTCCTAAACATGTACACGTTTACATAATATCGATTTATTCAATCAAAAACGCAAATTTGAATGAAGCATCTTAATAAAAAAAGAAATAGATATAGATATCGAACGAACAAAACTCAAAATATGATATAACTTTTTCGTAGAAAAATATCCCTCTTTTTAGTCGGTAATGGAGAAAAGTAGAAAACAGACATATACAATCAAATACCAATATCTTTGTTTTATCATATTTTTACACATGCAATCTTATAATTTGAATAAGCGTTTCAAGTCTACACATTTCGTTAAGTAGCATGTTTGGCTCACAGCCTACGACCTGTCTGTATTATAAATATTCGTGCACGTCGTGTACATAGTTTCAAATACAGAAAATACTCTATACGGTAAGAACTTTGGGTAAGAAAAATCACATATTCAGTGTATGTCCATACATTATTAGTGGGAGCACTGGTTGATGAAGTCAGTATCCGATCAGCGTGTTTATCTTCAATTGTACTAGATGTGTCTTTTCTGCTTCTACTTCTCGACAACGAAAGGAATTATACTTAAGAGGGTGTGGGTGTGGGTGTGGGTGGTGGGTGGTGGGTGTGGGTGGGTGTGGGTGTGGGTGCAGGTGTAGATGTGGGCGTGAATGTCAGTGTGGGTGTAATTACCGGTTCGGGTAAGGGTTCGGATGTGGGTGCGGGTATTCTATGGTTTCAACACCCACACTCACACCCTGGAGAGCAAGTGTCCTAGCGAGCAACTGTCCGGTGAGCAAATGTCCGCGCGCAACTGTCCCACGAGCAACTGTCGTGCGAGCAACTGGCCGTCTCCCGTTTTCTTGTTTGCCATTGCCATCTCGTTGAGTTAAACTTTATAGAAGAAATCTAGAAACAATCTTGTTATGACCAAATCTCACTAGTAAAACTCATGTGATGTTTAAAAGGCTTGGACAAAAATTGAGAATTGACTTTGTTTTAAGGGGAACCTCCACCCATTTTCGGAGTTTCTCGAAAACGGCAAGGCGATAATTCTTGAAATTTTCACGGTGAATAGATCTCCAGTAGTAGAACAAAACTTGTCATAGACTCAAAGTTGCCAGACTCCCTCATTCATAGACTGTTGGAGGCCCCAAGGTCGGAAAATCGCTTTAAGTTTTCCCCCGGCAAATCCACAGATTTTAATATTTTGGGCTGAACTTTTTACTGTGGGTAGCAGACCTAAATTGGGGTGCCGCTTTTTTTTTTTTGAAAAATTCTTCAAACTTTGGGCAAGAGAGCCAAAATACTGAAGACGCCCAAAAATCGTTAGCATTTTCGGATTACGAAAATTTGGCAAATTCTGCCAAATTTTATTGGTAAGAGCTATCGGCAAAAAAAAAAGCGGCACCCCAAATCAGTTGAAGTCCCCCCAAAAACATTTTCAGCCCGATCGGCCTTAAAATGGCTGAGAAAAGGAGGTAAAACTTTTTTTGGCACCCAAAAATCAAGTTTCGAGGAAAACGCAAAATACAAAAACGTTTTAGAAAATTTTACTATTTTTCACTTATATTCACGTATACGCCAGTTTTTTTGCTAATTTTGTGGTACAAAGGGTAGTCTGGCATGTAGAATCCAAATCTGAAGTCAGTTTTAATTAATTATTAACTAGACACTATTTAGTCGTTAATTAATGAAGAAATTTTTTAAGATTGGAAAAGGTGTATTCGACTCTGGATAATTCGATTCTGATGTCAGATTTAATTAATTAACTAAGCTTAATTAACGTTTTTTCAGAAAAACTGAAATAACTCAGATTTGCACGGAGAACGCGAATCTGATGTTAGATTTAATTAATTATTAACTATTGATTAGGTATTAATTAACTATTGATTTTTTGTCATTTGTTCTTTATTAAAGGGTGTGGGTGTGG